AAGAGTTTGGAGGCTCTCCTTGTAATTAAAAATAGAGCTATTATATGATCCAGCAATTCCATTTCTAGGTGTATATCCAAAGGAAATGAAAAGAGATTATCCAAGAGATATTTGAATTTCCATGTTTGTTACAGCATTATTCACAATAGCCAAGATGTGGAAACAACCTAAGTGACTTTCAACACATGAATGGATAAAGAAGATGGGATACACACACACACACACACACACACACACACACACACACACACACAGTGGAATATTCTGCTATGAGAAAGAAGAAAATCCTGCCATTTGTGCCAACATAGATGGACCTTGAGGGCCTTGTGCTAAGTGAGATATGTCAGGCAGAGAACAACAAATACTGTATGATACCATTTATATGTGGAAACAAAAACAGCCAAGCTAGTATAGTTGAATGGTGGTTACCAGTATGTGGGGGTGGGAGATAGGGAGATATTGTTCAAAGAACACAAACTTGCAATTGGAAGATGAATGAATTTGGGAGATCTAATACACAGTAGAGTGATTACAATTAACAATATCGTTTTATATACTTGAAAGTTGCCAGGAGAGTAGATCTTAAATGTTCTTACTACAAAAATGACATGGGAATTTGGTGACATAATGGAGGGAGATATTAGCTAACACTGAAGTGCTAATCCTGTTATAATATATAGGTATGTCAAATCAACATGTTATACACCTTAAACTTACATAATGTTGTGAGTTAGTTACATCTTAATAAATCTGGAAAAAATAGGGGGTTCCTTAGTAGAGATTCTAACCATAATAAAAAGGGTAAAATTCTTAAGTCTAGTTAAGTTCTGATTATCCATTACCTGGTATATTGCTTGGAACTACATTCCACCTGTCTTATCTCTTCTGGGGGAGGAGGTGGGTAGTAAGGTATTTAGGCTGAGAGAACAAGAAATGACAAAGGGTTTGACAGTAAGATATTAGCCTCAAACTCCCAAATTCTGGACAGTTGATTTATAGAATAAACTTGTAATAATTTATGCATTCTTGAACTGTGAGTTTTGATGGTCGCCTTCTGTTTTATGAGGCACTTGATAATGTGTTGAAAAGAGGTTTGCTGAGCTATTTGTATCCTTGCCTTTTTTTCCACACCACCAAGTAAGTACCTTTAGGGTGGAGATAGCATTGGTACTCTAGTATCCATTGATAGGATTTAAATTTATAGGATTGTCTCTAAAAAAAACAAACAAACTTGTATTTGAAGCTCTAAGTAGCTAAGGTATGACAAAGCACTGGAAAACTGTATTCAGGTAAATTGTTTAGTACTTGAAAGTATTACCATCTTCAGCTTTGTTTAACACAAACATCTTCTTGGCACTCTTGAATGAATTACTCATTGTTTCTGTGTTTACAAATTTTTTTGAAATTGTACATACAATGAACTCCTAACCTCTTTTACTACTGAGTGTTAAATTGCATGGGACTTTTCTGTTCAAAGGCCCAAACTGAAGAATTCCTGGGCTCAGTCATAATAATGACTGTGAATACCATCCTCTAAAATATAAGCAATGGTAATACTGTACTTTGCAGTAGAGTTCTGCAATCTTTAATTGAATAAAGTATAACCAAAATAAAATGTCAAGTAGTTGGAATCATAGAGCATGTTGCCTTTTCACCCTAGCTCCTTTCACTTAGCAATATGCATTTAAGTTTCTCCATGTCTTTTCATGACTGGATAGCTCATTTTTTTTATACTGCTGAATGATATTTCATTGTACAGATTTACACAGTTTGTTTATCCATTCACCTTTTGAAGGACATTGTGGTTGCTTCCAGTCTTGGGTGATTCTAGAAACATTTGTGTGAATTTTGTATGCATATAAGAATGTAACACAATTGGGTACATACTCAGGAGTGTGATTGGTGGATTGTATTGTAAGACTATGTTTAGGTTTGTAAGAAATTGCCAGTTTTATCAGGTTTTTGGATTTCAGCCATCCTTATAGGTGCGTAGCAGTATGTCCTTATTGCTTTAATTTACAGTTACCATTTTTATATGTGCTTATTTGCCATCTGTATATATTATTTGATAAGGTAATTGTTTGGATCTTTTGCCCATTTTTAAACTGGGTTGTTCTCTGGGGCGCCTGGGTGGCTCAGTCAGTTGAGTGTCCCGACTTCAAGTCAGATCATGATCTCACGGTCCCTTGAGTTCGAGCCCCATATTGGGCTCTGTGCTGACAGCTCAGAGCCTGGAGTCTGCTTTGGATTCTGTGTCTCTCTCAAAAATAGATAAACGTTAAAAAAAAAAATTAAAAAAAAAATAAATTGGGTTTTCTTATTTCTGAATTTTAAGAGTTCTGAATATATTTTGCATACCAGACTTTTATCAACATGGGTTTTGCAAAGATTTTGTCACAGTCTCTTCCTTGTTTTTTAATTTAAGGACAGACACCTTAATGGTGTCTTTGCAGAACTGAGGTTTTTAATTTTAAGAATGTTCAATTTATGAATTTTTTTCATGGGTCATGCTTTTGGTTTTACGTCTAAAAACTCATTCTCAAATAAAGTCACCTAGATTTTCTCCTTATGTTATATTTTGGATGTTTTATAGTCTGCGTTTTAAATTTAGGCCTAAGATCCATTTTTTTTTTTTAATGTTTATTGTGAGACAGAGACAGAGTGTGAGCAGGGGAGGGGTAGAGAGAGGGAGACACAGAATCTGAAGCAGGATCCAGGCTCTGAGCTGTCAGCACAGAGCCCAATGCAGGGCTCAAACTCAAAAACCGTGAGATCATGACCTGAGCCGAAGTTGGACCCTTAACCGACTGAGCCACCCAGGCACCCCCCCTAAGATCCATTTTGAGTTAATTTTTTTGGAGAGATGTAAGGTCTAGGTCTAGGTTCATTTTTTTGTGTGTGCATGGACGTCCAAGTCTTCCAGCCCCATTTGTTGACAAGACTATCATTTCCCTACTGAATTATCTTTGCTTCTTTGTCAAGCTTCAGTTGCCTATAATTGCATAGATCTGTCTCTGGGCTTTCTATTTTATTGCATTGATTAATTTGTCTGTTATTTTTCCAATATCATGCTGTCTTGATTACTGCAACTTTATAGTAAGTCTTAAAGTCAGTTAGTGTCCAGATTTTTAAAGAATTTTTCTCTTTGCCTTCGGTTTCGAGCAGTTTTGACCATGATATGCCAAGTGTGGTCAAGTTTTTGTTTGTTTTAATTTATCCCTTGTTGGGGATTTGTAATACTTTATAAATCGATGCTTGATTTTTTCTGTAAATGTTTGGAACTTCTCCGATATAATCTCTTTAAATATAGTTTTTATTTCATTCCTATATCCTCTTCTGAGATATAAAGTAGAATATATTAGACCTTTACACTGTATGTTCTGTATCTATTATATTCTTTCATATATTTTTCATCCCTTTGTCATTCTTTTTTGTAAATGTTTTCTTCTGACCTACCTTCGAATTTATCACTTCTTTGGTTGTATTTAACCTGCTTTTAAATCCATCTTTCTTGGGGCACCTGCGTGGCTCAGTTGGTTGAGCGGCCAACTTCAGCTCAGATCATGATCTCGCAGTCCGTGAGTTCGAGCCCTGCGTCAGGCTCTGTGCTGACAGCTCAGAGCCTGGAGCCTGTTTCAGATTCTGTGTCTCCCTCTCTCTGACCCTCCCCTGTTCATGCTCTGTCTCTCCCTGTCTCAAAAATAAATAAAAATGTTAAAAAAATAAATAAATCCATCTTTCTTAATATTGATTATTCTAATATTTATATTACACGGAAATTTATGTAATATTTATGTAATAAATTTATTTACATATTTATGTAATAAATTTATATATTTCAATTTGTATTATGGCTTTCAGAACGCTCTTGGAAATTTGAAAAATTTTTAAAGTTTATTTATTTTGAGAGAGAGAGAGAGAGAGAGAGAGAGCACGAGTGGGAGAGGAGCAGAGAGAGAGAATCCCAAGCAGCCTCCACGCTGTCAGCACAGAGCCGATGTGGGGCTCTAACCCACAAACTGTGAGATCCTGACCTGAGCTTTTAAGTCAGATGCTTAACCAAGTGAGCCACCCATGCACCCCAGGAAGTCTCAATTTTATCTGTTATTTCCTTCCACATATCAAAAAGAAAATCTATTTCTGATGATGCCAGACATGTTTTTGAGTAGTTTACAAGCTGAGTGGTTTTTACATTTTTAAAGTGTCATTAAAGAAAAAAAAAATAGACGAAGAATATACAACAGAGACTGTACATGGCCCACAAAGCATAACACATTTACTAGCTGCTTTTTACGTAAAAAGTTTACTGACCCATAAAGTAGATTCTTTATATATCTGTTTCTGTTATCCTAGTGATAATAGATATCTCCTATTTCTGGTTGGTTTTGATGTGGTATTGGATATTGTACATGAACAATCACAGAGTTACTTTGGGACTAGGTTGATATTAACTTCTTCCAGAGAAGATTGAAATTTGTTCACTAGGCAGATAAAGGCACTACCAATCTTCAGTCACCCTCATACAATGAGAGAATGAGCTGGTTCAAAGGTGGACTTCCATCTTTCTGAGGGCTGCTTGACTTCTGCTTCTCTCTTATATCCCAAAGCAAAGCTTGGGGACTTAGTGAGGATCTCGTTCTTTGTGTCCCCTGAGTACTGAGTCCATTGAGATCTTTTAACTACCTCTATTAGAATCTGCTTCTGTTGGAATTGGCAGCTACGTCTGGGATAAAAGCAACCCAAAATGTCACACTCATCACTAGGTTTCCATCTCTTCTCTAGTTTTAACTTCCTAATTCTTTTTTGCTTTGTTAATGATGTGTGGCTTTCATACAGGTTTTGAAATATTTTTTCTAGCTATTCTAGTTCTTAATGATAATGTTGGTTCAAATTATTTTGATTATCATTATTGGAAATAAACTCTTATATTTACTTATAGGTAGTGAAGTGTTTGTTTTCTGCTTGGTTTCACTTTTGCTTTTTTGCTATTTTTATTTCAGATAGCTTCATTATTTCCCATGTATGTTGTGGGGTACATTGAGCCAAACAAATTTCAGAAGATCATTTATATGAACATGGTAATATTTTTAACATTTATAAGTCAAATATTAAAATAAGATTTCAGGGTTGATAAAACAGAACTGACTCTATTTTATGGGGGTACCTCCTCCAAGTAGTATTTAATGTATATGATGTTGATATTATCCAGAAGGAAAGATTATACTATTATATATCTACATCTATAACATCAGATAGATTACACTCTATCAACTAGACTATAGATATTTTATGTTCTGTGAAACTTTAAACATTTTTAATGTCTTATTTATTATTATCATTACTTTTGAAACTGCCTTTTCTCCCTGAGATCTGAGATTTTTAGCACTTTGCATTAATATGACCCTGTAAATTTTATGTTTTTGCATTTTTAAAATCTTACTTTCTAAATACATATATATATATACTTCAGCTAAGAAAAGAAAATATGGCCTTGTTAGTTATGGAAATCTTCAAGTAGTCCAACAAAAATAAGATTAGAAAAATTAATACTTACTTTCTTACTATATTCTTTCTATATTCTTACTATAGTCTTTCTTACTATATTATTCCATCATTGAATCAATAGAAACAATAGTGTTTTTTCTGTTTTCTTTATAGCAAGTAGCAAATAGAGAAATAAAATGAAATTCTCCTGTATATAATTTATGGTGTTGAAAACACTTAAAACCTATCAGTGTGTTGAAATTCTATTATCATTTGACCAAGATCTACTTATGTATTTATCAATCTTATTTATGCATATAACATTTGTATTAGAAGTGACTATGCCTGTAGACAAAGTATGCATCATGCTGTTTATCTAGTCACAATAAAACAGATGTTTCTTTTCCTCAATTTTCAGATTTCAGTTCTCCTTTGTTTTGTGTTGATGTTTGGAAATCCAATGTATTTATCTTCTTATTATTCATCATCTTTGTTAATGACATGGGTAAGTGTTTGCTAAGCTCCTGAAGATTTGTTTTTACCTGTCAAATAGTAGGTTTACCCATGTGATATAAGCTTAGGAGAATAAATAGTGCCCTTTCCGAATTATTGCTCACATGAAAAACTTTCCCAAATAATGCTTTCTGTCTATCTTATCCTTGAAAAATGAATACAATCCAAAATTTACCTCTTTAAGGCAATGCCCAAGTAAATATTTTAAAAACAATCATAAGCTAATAAGACTTACTTTAAAAATATGCCATCTATGATAAAAATTAGTTATTTCTTTCTATGTCAGTTTAGTACACTAGTTATTGCAGTGACACTGCCGTTGCCCAAAGCATTTTTGAACTCCTCTGAAATGCCTACACAGACACAGATGGTGGCACATTCTTTTGAATATCCTCAATGGTGGCAAATCTTCATCTTTCAAGGGTGGATTTAATTTTTGGAAATGACCAAAGTCTTGTGAACAAGGTGGGTGATTAGATCTTGGGTAATATAGATCTTGGTCAAAATATGGTGTGACAATAAAGTAATTAGACTGATTTTCTTGCACCATAAATTATCTCTGGAAAAAAATTTATCTCTGAAGGCAGTTTAGAAAGAGGAGTTTCAGACTGTTTTAAGCAATGGCAACATGATGAGAATAATGCATGTGACTTACTTTCATGGAATAACACTCATTTGGATTATGTATTTGGAAGGGTGGTTCAGTAAATTCGTTTTATTACTTTAGAGTCACACTTCTAATATTCATGAGCCAGAGCATGGAGTGTTTTCCTCCACTGGAATGTTATTGGGGTATTCTCTTTTTGTAATGATTAGAAATGATATGAACCACAGTAATACCAAAATGTGGCACTTTTCCACATATGGTACATAGATGGGCTCTTGGGATTTCCCCTATATTTTAATATTTTGGTCCCCAGCCTCTTTTTCCCCCCAAATAAGTAATCCCTACTTTTTCTCTCTCCCCAAAAACCTTTCAGCATTTTGTCAAGTTTTGTCAGTATTACTGACAAGTAAATTACTTTACAAGTAAAGTATTTTTACTTGTAAAATATACAAGTAAAAAATTGTAAAATATACTTGTAAAATATTGTCAAATATACAAGTAAAATATTGTAAAAAAAAAGTATTTTTACTTGTATTACTTTACAAGTAAAGTACTTGTAATCATCTACCCCTTTTTATGAAAGCATTTTGTTTTGAAATATAGCACACGTGTAGAAAACTACATAAAACAAATGTTTTACGTACTTAGTACTGACTAGTAGTGATAAATACTGATTAATGAACTGTTATTTGACAAAGTAACTTAAGCTGCCGTCAAGTCAAAATTAGAACTTGTCTAACCATTCTAGAAGCCCTCTGTGTGTCCTGCCCAATTATAACTCCCTTGCACTGCTCTAAAGCAGGAATAGCTGTCTTGATTATGGTAATTACTCCTAGCTTTCATTTATAGTTTCATCAATTAATTTTCTATTTTTACCTACAGCTTTTCTATATATCTTCCTGGTTTTGTTTCCAAGAAATTTATTTGTTAAGAATTCAGGTCATTGAACGCAGCACAGGAAGGTGCTGTGGTCTAGGTTTTGCTCTTTGAATCCTCATTGGGTGATTTTACATCTTCCTTTGCCTTCTTTATTTATAATACAGTTTATCCTCGAACAGTGCAAGGACTAGGGATGTTAAATCCCCATGCAATTAAAAATCCACATATAATTTTGATTCCCCAAAAACTTAACTACTGGTAACTAATGTTGACTGGAAGCCTTGCTGATAACATAAGTAGTCAATTAACATGTATTTTGTATGTTATGTGTCTTATGTACTGTATTCTTAAAGTAAGCTCTAGAGGAAAGAAAATGTTATTAAGGAAATCATAGGAAGAGAGAATACATTTACAGTACTGTACTGTACTTACCAAAAAAATTTAAGTTGACACATGCAGTTCAAACCTGTGTTGTTTCAGGGTCAACTGTATATTAATAATTAGATCTAAAACTTGGACAGGTTCAGATTTGATTCCTTTGGCAAGTCCATAGTATTGTTTTTTTAGCAGGAGGCACATAATATCTGGTGCCTCTCTTTTTATGGCGGCAGCCATCAATGCTTAGTACCAGATCCACTAATTAAATAGGGATTGCAAAATGGTGATATATCAGTCCCTCACTTACAGTTCATATAGGAAAATAAAGTACATGTCCAAATGAGGGAAGTTGGGAGGAGGTAGAAAAATATTTGAAGAAATAATGGCCAAAACTTTTCCAATTTGATGAAAATTACCAACTGAGATACGAAAAATCTTGTTGAATCTCAGTACAAGAAACTGAGAGAAAGCTAAATAAGGCACATGATAATCAAATTGCTCAAAATTAGTGATAAAGAGAAAATCTTAAGAACAGCCAGAGAAATAAGACCTATTAAATGTAGAAGAACAGAGGGTAAGGATGTCAAAAGATTTTTCATAAGAAAAATAATGCAAGCAGTAAGATAGTCAAGCAACATCTTTATAAAATACTTAAAGAAAAAAAAAACATTGGGAATTTGTAATTATATACCCAGCAAATATATCCTTCAAAATGAACACAAAGACTTTATGACCAGCATATTTTCACTAAAATAAATGTTGAAGGGGGTCCTTCAGATGGAAGAAATAATATATTAGATGTCAGTCTGGCTCTACACAAATGAAGGGCACATGCAATAGTAGCTAAAGGTAAATATGTAAGGTTTTCCTGACATTTTTAAAAATATTTATTTATTTTGAGAGAAAGAGAGAGACAATGTGTACGTGTAGGGGAGGGGCAGAGAAGGAGAGAGAGAATCCCAGGCAGGCTCTGTGCTCTCAGCATAGAGCCCTTGTGGGGCTTGATCTCGTGAACCCATAAGATCATGACCTAATGTGAGATCGTGTCCTGAGCTGAAATCAAGAGTTGGACACTTAACCGACTGAGCCACCCAGGTGCCCCCCTGCCATTTTTAACCACATTGTTGGACTTTGGGGGCATCATGCTCTGTGAAATAAGATAAATACTATCTTTAAATTTGTGTCTTTAGTTTCTTTCAGCAATGTTTTGTAGTTTTCAATGTATTAAGTCTTTTACCTGTTTGAGTTTATTCTTAATACTTTTTTCCAGAGGCTATTACAATTACAAATGGGATTATTTTCTTAATTTCCTTTTCAGAGTTTTCATTTTTAGTGTGTAGAAATACAAAACATATTTTTGCATATTGATTGTGTGTTGTGCTTCTTTGCAGAATTTATTTATTCCAAGTGTGTGTGTGTGTGTGTGTGTGTGTGTGTTTTCTATGTAGAAAATCACATCATCTGCAAACAGAGATCGTTTTACATCTTCCTTTCCAATTTTTTATGCCTTTTATTTCCTTTTCTTGCTTAATTGCTGTAGCTAGGACTTCCAGTACTATGTTGAATAGAAATGGTGAAAGTTGGCAATCTTGCCTTCTTCCTGATGTTAAAGTAAAAGCTTACAGTTTTTCACCATTCAGTATGATGTTAGCTGTGGGATTTTCAAATATGGCCTTTATTGTGTTGAGGTAATCTCCCTCTATTCCTAGTTTGTTGAGAGTTTTTATCATGATAGGACACTAATTTTTTTCAAGTGCTTTCCCTACATCTATTGAGATGATCTTGTGATTTTTAATCCCTCATTCTGTTAATGTAGCATGTTACATTAACTGATTTGCATATGTTTAACCATCCTAGCATTGCAAGATCTCATTTAATCATGGTGAATGGTCCTCTTAATGTGTGCTGTTAAATGTGGTTTGCTTGTATTTTGTTAAGAATTTTTCCATTTGTGTTCATCAGGGATATTGGTCTGTCAGTTTTCTTAGTGTCCTTGCCTGGCTTTGGTATCAGGGTCATGCTGGCCTTAAGAAATATGTTTGGAAGTGTCCCTCCTCTGCAGTTTTTGAAACAGTTTGAGAAGAATTGACATTAATTTTTCTTTAAATGTTTGGTAGGATTCATCAATAAAGCCATCTGGTCTTTGATTTTTTTCTTTGTTGTGAGGTTTTTGATTATTTGTTCAATATTCTTACTAATTATAGGTATGCTTAGAGTTTCTGTTTCTGTATGATTCTGTCTTGGTAGATTGTTTGCTTCTAGGAATGTGTGTCTTCTATGTAATCAATTTGTTACTATCTAACTGTTCACAGTAGTCTCTTATAATCTATTTTGCTTGAGTTTAGTTATTTCAGATGGGAGAGTATGTGTGATTCCTGTTATATCAACTTGACCAGAAGCAGTAGTTCCATCCTGATTGATTTTAATTACTTACTTTATTTTGGGGGTGAAATATTATCATGTTTCTAAGAATAAGAAATATATAAAAAGTTGTACTCAGAAAATGTCACTCCCTCTCATTCCCTCTACCTTTTCTCTCCAGTTTTCTTTTCACCTTGGTCCTGCCTTTCCTGTAAGATATCTCATTGGTTTTCTGGTTTTCCCATTTAGTTGTTTTTTCTTTTTTACACTAATAAATATTTTATATATATATATATAATATATTTATTTATTTATCATATCTCCTCTTACTTACATGAAAGGTAGAATACTTAGATAGTCCTCTTCACTTTGGTTTATCAGCCTATTGTATATATCATGCAACAACCTATCCTGGATACAATTCCATATAATGTCATAGAGATCTTCTTCATTCTTTATATAGTTTCATAGTACTACACTGGGTATGTTCCGTAGATAATTCAAATACTGTCCAATGTCTGGGCATCTAGGTTGTTTCCTATATTTTGCACTTACAAACAGGTTGCAGTGTATAATTTGGTCCATTTATATTTTCCGTTGTTGGAAGCTCAGGAATCCTGGCTCACCTTGAGCTAACTAGATGCTGCAAAATCCTACACCAAATCTAAGTAACACACAGGCCTAAGATTTCGGTTTCTTATAGGAAGCTTTTTCTTCCCACCCCAAACTCAAATACCTTGTGAGCTTGTAGCAATGGCAGGAGGAGTATTCCTAGTCCTTGAGTATCTTTGTCAGTTTGGGTTGCTATAGTAAAAATACTATAGACAGAAATTTATTTTTCAGTTCTAGAGGCTAGGAAGTCCAAGATCAAGATATCAGCCAATTTGTTTCTTGGTGAGGGCTCTCTTCTTGATTTACAGATGCCTTCACTATATTCTCACATGGTCAAGAGACAGACATCTCTCCCATGTCTCTTCTTATAAAAGCACTAGTCCCGGGGCACCTGGGTGGCTCAGTTGGTTGAGCGTCTGACTTCGGCTCAGGTCATGATCTCACAGTTTGTGGGTTCAAGCCCCACATCAGGCCCTTTGCTGACCGTTTGCTCGGAGCCTGGAGCCTGCTTCGGATTCTGTGTCTCCCTCTCTCTCTGCCCCTTCCCCGCTCACACTTTGTCTCACTCTGTTTATCAAAAATAAATAAATGTAAAAAAATTTTTAAAAAATAGTAGCACTAGTCCCATTCATGAGGGCTCTGCCATCATGGTCTAATTACCTCCCAAAGGTTTCATCTGTTACGTCAGAGTGAGGATTAGGGTTTCAGCACATGCATTTGGTGGGGGACATAAACATTTAGTTGATAACACTGAAGGGTATGATTTTTGAGGACCCCAGCTTTATACATGTCTCAAGTCCAATTTCTTACCTTCCATAGCCCCAGGCCCTTTTCTTCTTTTGATGTAAGCCCATTGTTGCAACTTTATTCTGCAGTCCTTCTTGAAGACTACCCTAAGTTTTCTCCTACATGTTTTTTAAAGTCATCTGCTTTCTCTGGCATCTGGAAAATTCATTTTCTTTCTTATAAGTTCAGTTAGGTATGTTTTTAATATTTTGTTTTTATTTTTATTTCATCCCACTACAATATTCAACCCACACAGCACAATGCCTGGCATCCAGCACCCACAGTCACTCTAGAGCACTTCTCCCCAGTCCCCTTCATCTAAATAAATTTCCAGTTCTAACAGCATCTGTTTTTCCACAACTGTGTGCTTCCCACCCCCAGGTACCTCTTAACTGTTTGTTTGTTTGAGAGAGAAAGAGTGAGAGAAAGCATGCAAATGGGGGAGAAGGAGAGAGAGAGAGAAGACAGAGGATCCTAATCAGGCTCTGTGCTGACAGCAGACAGCCTAATGCGAGGCTCACACTCACAAACCGTGAGATCATGACCTGAGCCAAAGTCAGATGCTTAAATGACTGAGCCACCCAAGCATGCCCAGTTAGCCATTTTTTAAAAATTTAAAAATATTTTATTTAGGAATTTGGGGAGGAAGGATTTTCATGTTATTTTAGACCACTAATTTTGCTGGGCGACTTAACATATATCCTTGCATGGACACACCTCCCACAAACAACCCACACCCTCAGAGGAGTAACCTGCACAAGGCATCACAGCTAATTCAGTGAGGAATTAACTTGATTCTAGAAGCAACTTGCTGGTACATAAAGCATTGATTGAGGTGTCACTAAAAGGAAATCTGCCATGTCCAAATTTTGAAAAATCAACAATTAAGAAGGAAAATGACTGGTGATAGCCAAGATGGAAGGGGGTGGCTGGGTAATTTTTAAAATGTATCAGTCATATAAAATGTCAATTTTATTTAATTGTTTAATTTTATATCATGTGCATTTTAGGTGATAATTCTAAAGAGAAATCAAATTCAAAGATTGGGAGTGTCTGAACTCAACTTTTGGGTAAGATTCAACATTTTTTACCATTTCTTCGAACTTTTTATTTCTATAAACTGAATACAGACAGTATACTTTAAAACTCGAATGACTTATAGTCAATAAATCTTATAAATACCTACTAATATGGGGCAAGAAATAGTCCTTAGTGACATCTACAAGTCATTGTCAGAAACGAGTTCATGTATTTCAGGACCACTCTCACGCCTCCCTTCCTTTACTTTTCACCCTGCTATATATACCCTTACTGCCTTGCTTTGTAAAAAAAATTTTTTTGCCTTGAGTTTCTCCCTTTAAATTTACTAACCTTCTCTTCAAAATAACTCAGCCTGTAGTCCTGCCCCTACTTTCTGTTTTTCTTTTCTCTACATCTGTCTATCGTCTATCTGTTCTTCTGCTTCCCATGTTAGACTATTATTTTTGTCCCTGTCACATTTTCCCTACAGTCTCCCAGCCCTTTCTTATATCAACTCATACACCACCTAATCTTCTTTTGACTTCTTCCCACACATGCAAATGGATGGCCCACGTTAATTCTATGTTTGTGTGTTTTGTTTCCAAGTAAACTCAGTATGCTGTTAGGTAGACACTACAATTACTAATTCTCGTAATATTGGACAGGTGACACTCCTTTTTTATCTCTTGATCTTTGATGTAGATGTACACCTATGAAAAAGTAAAACCTGCCATATTGAAGAACTATGTGATTACATATGATATATTAATAGGGGAAAGCTGGAGAAGTTATGGTAAGATAAGGTAGATTTCTACTCAGAATGCAAAAGGACAAAGTGTATTGAGTTGCCAGTTACTCGCTACTGGAGGCTTTCTCTAATGGTGAAAATACAGAAATATTTGTGCACTTGAATTAGTGGATGATATGACTCTTCTAATATATGATTTTTTTAGTTCACAAAAATTAGCAGTTTTTTCCAAGATGAAGCCAGGAAATTGATGGAAAATTCAAAGATCTTCATTTAATAACTGAACTCAAAGTCAAAATTTCTATTACAAACTGTTGAAAAATGGCAACAAACAGAATAGCATCCATGGACATTTAGGAAATTCTGCCAAAGCTGTACTGAGATTTATTCTCTTCTTTTCAGTTTTAGACTGGAAAGAGTAAAAATTAAGCGTTCAAGTCAAGAATTCAAAGAAACAAACATCTAAGGAGAAAAAAGTTGAGATATAATTAATGTTCAAAACATTTATTTTTTAAAGCTGACAGAATTGATGTCAGTCTTTTGCAAAGGGGAGAGATAAATTTTAGTTATGTAAACAATACAAAGGATATTCTGACCTTTTATGGCTTTTTCCCCATAAAAGGCAAAAAGGAAAAGCAAAGATATTTTGTGAACTAACACTTTTTCTTCCTCCCAAAAAAACTTGGCGTTTTACTATTCCAAGTAATTCTTTCATACCTGTGGAATAAAGATTATATTGCATATCTTACTCCATATGGTATTTAGAAGCCAAGGTCTGAATGCTGAGTGTTCTCATTGCTACACTGTTTCCTTGCTTCTAGACCCATACTTCTAGACCGATATAGATACATATGCATACATACATCTAATATTTGTATCATTGAAATTCCACAAGGAGAGGTAAAAGAGAGTGGGGCTGAAAAATTTTGAATATGTAATGGCTGAAGACTTTCCAAATTTGGTAAAAGACATGAATCTACAGAGTCAAGAAATGGAGTGAATCCCGAGTAGGATAAGCCCAACAATATCCATGCCAAGACACATCATAATTAAATTTCTGAAAACTAAAGACAAAAAATCTGAAAAGCAGGCAGAGAGAAATGACATGTTGCCTATAGGGCAAAACTGATTCAGATTACATTAGCCTGAAACTATGGGGCCAGAAGGAGATGGCGTAACATTTGTCAAATGCTGAAAGAATTGTCAACTGCAAATTAAATGTCCAGGGATAGTGTCTTTTAGGAGTGTAGGGGAAATAAAAGACATTCTCAGATGAAGGAAAACTAAGAGAATTTGTTGCTAGCAGAGCAACCCTTAAAGAATAGTAAATGGAAGTTCTTGAGGCAGAAACTAAATGACCAGAAGGAATCTTAGAACATCAGGAAGAAATTAAAAAGAAAGAAAAAGAAAATGGATACATAAAGGAGTAAACGTAATATACTATTCTTGTGTTTTTCTTTTCATGTGTTTCCTCTTGGCTTATTATTTATCTAGATGTTTGAATCAAATTTTAATTAATTTATTTTTTCTCTCATTTTTATTGATATGAGTTTTTGAGGCCATGGATTTTCTTCTGATCATTGTTTTACATGACTTTCTTCATTCCTAATATGTAGTTTTCATTATCATATTTGAAAAATAAATTTTTGTTTCTCTTTCACTTAAGACCTGTTTTAATAGTAAGTTTGTTAATTTCCAGGAGGGAAGGACCTTTTTTTCTTCTAACTTTGTTATAAATTTCTAGTTTTATTACATCACGATGATAGAAGATTACATTTTAGTTTGTGGACCTACTGGGTGCTTTCTCTGTGACCTAATGGATGATCATTTTTTTGTGAATATTTTATGTGTGCTTGATGAAGGTGTATCCTTTATTAGCAAGACATATTTTGATAAATTTATCCACGAAATTTATTTTTAAATGTTTTGGTCTTTTATACCTTTATGTATTATTTGCCCACTGACAAAGTGGCAAAGTGTATTGAAGTGTATTGAAAAAGTGTATTTAAGTCTTTTAATATTAGTGTGTTTCTGTTTCTCCTTGACGATCCAGTAACTTCTGTTTTATAAGGATGGTTGCAATACATAGATATTCATACTTAATTATATTTTCTTCATGAATTGTGTCTTTTAGTGTCAAAATAATTTCTATATCTAATGCTTTTTGGTGTGAAACTTAGTGATGATAGGATTATAAGCTTTAGTTTCTTATTAGCTTTGGTACATTTTTGCTGCTGTTTCATTGTCACGTTTTTGAATCTGTTTCAGTACATCTTTGTATAGCACAGGTCAAACACTGCTTTGTGAGAATTTGAAGAGTTTTATTTATGTTGTAAATGTTATATTATTTTTTGTATTTACAATTTCTCTACATATTTCATTACACATTTCTCTTTCATTTTTAACTTTCTATATTCAGGAAAGTTGTTCCCTCAATTATTGCATACTTGAAACTGTTTTTCTGTAATCTTTATACCTGAATGACAGATGGACTAGATATAAAGTTCTTGGTTCCGACTTTCTTGAGTGTCTTGAAAATGCTTCTACACCGTTTTATTGCTTTTATGTTTCTTTTAATATGCATGGTGCAAGCCAAATTTTCTTGCCCTTCTAAGTTATGTGCTGAGAACTGTTACGGACTTTTCTTCCTTTTTAAGTTTTACTAGGCTATGTCTCGAGGTAGTTTACCATACTGGTCAATTTTCCCAATTCCTGGTGGGTCCTTTCCACATGTAAGTCCAGGTCTTTTATTTCTAGGAAGTTTTCTTGGATTGTAGTTTGAATACTAGTGTGAATTCATTGCTCAGTTTTTCTTTTTCAGGGACTCCAGTTACAAACATGTTGCCTGTCTTCTGTTTCTACTACTTTCTATGATTCTTTTATTTCCTTGTTTAATCTCATTTTTATTCTTTTGTGGGTGGTTTTTTTTTTTACGGTCTTCAGTGTTTTTTTTGAATTTTTATTTAAATCTCTGCTCCTTTATGGGGCGCCTGGGTGGCGCAGTCGGTTAAGCGTCCGACTTCAGCCAGGTCACGATCTTGCGGTTCATGAGTTCGAGC